CATGGACGGCTCCTTGAAGTGGACACCATGGCAACCAAAACTTAAGTCAGGCACCTGTACCACAAAAAAAAAAAAGAAAAGAAAAGAAAAGAAGCAGCGAGCTAACTGTCCTGGCTTACAGTATGATTATTCACATGGTTGTGGTGATCCTGATTTCAATAAACCTACTGCCCTGCTAGTCCTATAAAAGCATAACACACACAATTACAGTGGTAGGCTATACTATCTAGATTTGTGTAAATGAATTCTATGATGTTCGCACAACAATATCACTTACTGTCATATTTCTCAAACATGTACCGACATTAAATGGCACAGGGCTGTAATTAAAAATATGCAAGTGGGACCCAGGGAAATCACAGGATGAAACTCAGGCTAACAACAGCAGAACTATCACTGCCCAATGCCAAAGGGTCAGAGAGAATGCTTGCTGAAAGCAGATGGAAGAATCCACAGACCTTTGCTGGGCTAGTGTTTGTTAGATGAGCTAGTTGAAGAAATTGCGAGGAAGCATAAATAAAATTCAACAGCAGTTGGACAGAATATTGTAGGTCTTTCTCTGATAATAAAATGATTAGGATTAGCTGTGTCTTTAATTTTTACTTCATTTTTCTACTAATTCCTCTGCCTTCTATTTGCTAAAGTTCCAACCCGTGACCGATTGGAAATGCCCTTTACTGCAAGTACTGAAAAATGCTCTGCCTGGAAGAGGCTTTCTGGAGAGGAGCCGCCCTTCACTTGCACATCACGGACACACAGTGGGCAGAGAGTTCAGGACATCTGAGGACACGGATACCCTGCCCTCACCCTCCTCTTTCGTCCAGTCTCCTATTGAAGTTCCCCAGTGGCTAAATCATTTTTATTCCAGTCAGTCCACTGGGATAAAAAGCAGGAAACAGATTGGTGGAAAGTGGGTCCCTTTTCTGTGCAATTGAAAAACTCATGTCCCCAAAATAGCAAGTGCACAAAGTCCCATCATCACAGTCATGTCATTTTGGTCATGCCACATATCACTTCATTGCCCCTGAGCTCTAGATTTATTCTTCAGCACATGCTCTGCCCTAACAAGCAGAATTCTTTTAAGTGTCTCTCCTGTGCAGTGAGCACCTTGTTGAGCTTTCTCAGTAGAGGGCCCTGAGGGACATTGTAGGACAAAGGGCCCCTCCTCCTGCTGTTTGCAGCAGCAGCAGCCTGGGGCCAGCAGTGTTGGGGGAAGGACTATAGTCATACTCTGCCCCAAACAGACACACAGAGCATGTGGCCCCTTTGCAAGCGCTCAGCTTCTCAGCGGCAGCCTGGTCTGGTACGAAAAATAGAACCCATTTCATAGTGTTGTCGTGAGGACCAATTTTAAAGTGCATATGGAATCAGCATATTACCATGCAGTTCTTAACATGGTGAACAACTTTGGTTTCCTTCCTCGCATGCTTGGGGCGCGCAGCTAGATAAAACTTGGGCTGACACAATGAGCGTTTTGACACAGACTCTGGGAGAACATTAAGTCCTACAATCCCTTTAAGACAAACAGAGTCTCAGATCAACTATTGAAAGTATCCAGTCTAATATGTTGATCAGCACTTCAATCTTTATTCAAACACAAGGCTTCTCTTCCAACTACCTTACTCTCCCTGTTTGTTAACTGTGGCTTCGGGCCCCTCCAGGGTTAAGTGCTTGGATGGAGGAGGTAAAAGGAGGCAGAGGAAAGCTCCTACTTGACTAGTACAGTCAAAACATGGCTTCATGCTGTCTAAACCTTTCTCTTCATAGGTTATATAAATATCTAATCACTTGATGTTGTACACTTGAAACTAATATAATGTTGTATGTAATCACTCCATGTTGTACAGCCGAAACTAGTACATTATATGTCAACCGTAATGGGAAATAAATTAATTTTTAAAAAGCAATCCTTTCTCTTATCAACGCTGTTAGGACTCTCCAGAGGGGTTCCTCTCCAACGATGTATTCCAGTTCTCCAGTTTTCCCACTTGGCTCCATCCTTGGTTTTCCAGAAATCCGCTCAGTACTGACTTTCTCTGTCCTCAAGAATGCGCCCTTCTTCCATACGATTTTAAAATTGTCCCAGACAATATCTCTCACACCCCAAGTGGCTCACAGTAGGCCAAAAGAATATCCATGTAGCCTTGGTCCCAAAAAGCTCTGGGACTGAAGGTCAAACCAAACACGGCAACAAGTCTCCGCACTTGACCTCCAAAGCCACTCGCCAGCATCCTCTCAGCCTTTGTCTTCTGGAAGGCAGTCAGACCCCAGGCCACCTTGTGCTCCCCGCCTACGGTGAGGCCCTGCTGTGCCTCTGTGGGCCCGCGGGTGGGGCTTGCCACAAAATTGAAAATGAGACAGCTTTTAAAAACTTCCTCGGCTTTTTAAGGGAGGGCAGCCTTCCTGATTTGAATTCTTCCTAAGGGACTATCGGGTATAATTTATAATGTTTTGTCTTTGTTTTTCTTCCCCATGACTCTTGATCAGACATACCTTTGGTGACCACAAGCGTGGTCGTAAGTTATCCACATGCTGCCTTGCTGGGGTCCTCCCACAGGCTGGTCTATCCAGCCGTGGGGATGACATATACAATCACCGAAGTAGAAATTCAGCTGTTACATAAAGATTAGAAGCCCTGCCCATTAAAATCTTTCTTTGGCAATCCTGCTGTGTCTGACCAAACTAAATGATGTTGAGATTTGATGTTACCAGTGGTCACTATTTTAATTATATGCAAAAATCAGATAACAAAAAACTTTTCTGATCAACTTTGCTTCTGCTAAATAGCTATAATAACTCACATTGGAAAAGGGGGAATAAATAATTTTTTAAAATTTATTTTTGCCAATTTCTGCAGATAGTTCCATAGTTCTGGATAGAAGCCTGGTAATTTGAAGAGTTTTGAACAGAAAGATCAAAGTCCGTAGAAAGGATGTTCGGGTTTGGAGGTTTTTTTGTTTTGTTTTGTTTTTTAATTTTCTTAAAATTTAGACCATCCTATGAAAGTCAAAGGATGTCTAAAAATACATAGTACTCACAACAGGCAGAGACAGAGGAAGTACAAAGATAAGTATAACTTGTATGCACTCTATTAATGGTAAGACTGGTCATGTGGGTCAATGTAGTTAAAATGCTTAAGGCGATATGGAATTAATCTGAAAAGGGTCATGAGAATCTCTAAAAGAGACAGTTCCCTGAACGGGCTGTGTCAGAACCTTCTGGAACAATCATCCCCTCAAGTGAACCAGACACAAACCTGTCCAAACCTGTCCATAGTATCTACAATGTACATTCCTTGCTTCTTAGTAATAGAACCCTGATTTTACTGTGAAATAAAAGCATTTCCCAGCTTCTCTTGCCAGTTGGTATGGACATGTAGCTAAGTCTGGCCAGTGAATAGAACTGCAAATACCGTCTATTACTTCTGAGAAAGGTCCTTTAAGAGTGATGAAGAGTTGGCTGTGAATTTTTGGTTTTTCTATCCCCTTCCCCTTCCTCCTGTGTATAACTTAGGCTAGATCCCTCCAGCAAACACCTTAGAATACAAAGTCGCCTTGAAGTCAGAAGCCCTAAATGACAGATCAAAGGAGCCTGGGTCCCACTGACCATGAAACTGCCAGGCCAGCCCTGCACTGCTTCTACCACACTCCTTTCATAGGAAGGAAAGTAAAGCTGACATGCTCAAGTGCCTCTTATTACACACCATCAAATCCCAAACATAGTGATGCTGGCATTTTCTTGGCCTGCCCAGACTCCAACAGATTATTTTAATTTTTCCACAATTATAACAACCTCAACAATGCCACCTGGTTGCCAGTGATTGTAGCATGTCATTTGGAAATGTTAAAATCAGGGGTAAATGCCTATCATAAAATGAATAGAACAGGTATTCGGAGTTTTCGGTTTATCATGTCACCTTAGCTTGCCTGAAATTTTACTGGTAAAATCACTGATTATGAGACATAAAGAAGTTGGGAATTTCCAATAGAGGAAGTTAAATGGCCATGAGAGTATGCATTGTACGTACTTGGCACAGAAAGGAAGCTAAGAGAAATGCAATCTAATACAGATATTGCCACCCACAGCTGAGGGAAGACAAAGTGTCAGTGAGACAGTAGCTATAGCAACATCAGTGTTAGGGAATTTATTAATTATAAAGTTAAGAACTTCTTGTACTGTAATGGATCTTAACTGAACAAAGTACCTGGAAATCATGGTAGCCTATCGATAAAAACATCAAAGAAACACCCAAAGGAAGACACTTACATTAATTACCTTGTAAACTCACAGTACTGTTTTGGTTGTCTCTACTAATTACTTTTTTTTTTAATTTAAGCTCCTAGTTAAAGAAACCCCTTTAGATATCATAGATTGGAAATGCCCAATTCAGTAAGGCTTTACTAAGCATCTAGAGATCATGATAAAATGCTACTCAGGGACTGTCATACCAGTGAACTCTCTTGTTGGCTACACTAAGCAACTGCTATAGAAATGAACATGGCAGAGTTAGACTATCAAACTAAGCAAACACAAATTATCCTGCCTTAACTAGCAATGAACCAGTGCTACAGCCACGCATCCACACATTAATAACTTACACTGGTAAAGGAAAGAAAATACTCTCTAATAAGTAGCAACTTTCTTTTCTATTTTGGGGCCTTTGTGCTGTATTGCCTGTGTTCACCTCACAGTCAAAGAAAAAGGCCCAAAGGTCAACACAGGAGAAAATAATGTGGAGAGCCCAGACCATCAACCGACACAACGGTCCATACCAAGTGGGAATCTGTTTAATATCAGGTTGTAAATAGTTTCCTAACCCAGATATATAATCTATGCTTTAAAAAGGTAAAGATTATTTCTTAAAATTATGTAAACAGATGACGTGATAAAAATAGATCCTATGGTTACTGGTTTATTAATCTTTATAGTTTTTATTTCCTGAATATCCTTGAAAGAAACACATTACCAATTTCCTATTCATCTCCCCCACTCACAATACCAAATATATGGAAGTCACTCAAGATACATACTTAAAATTAATAATGAATCACACAATGCATGGTTTCAAAGGTGTTTACTATTTGGTCAAACAATAATTTTTTGTCAGTCATAAAATGGAATGTACATTCATATACATGTTAAATATTCATCAGGTCTGCATTACGGCTTTGTGACACTATTTTCTACTCTGTAGGGAAATGTAATTCCTGAGATCATTATTGGCCTTTATAAATCATTTTATTCACTGTTAAATCATCTTTCCTTAAGTGCCTTGGGAGTGTGAATTGAGGTTAGGATGTTCAATTTCAAACCAACTTTCTATAGCAGTTAAATGAGAAAACAGGCTTTATCTTTTATAAAAGGTAGAAAAATAACCATGGTGTGAAGATTTTTTTTCCAAAGTTTACCACACAGGAAAAATGTAGACTGAACACAAAAGAAGTCTTTTCTGAATGACTCTCAATTCCATAAAGAATGTATGTTTTCCAGATAATCAGTCTTTGACATATAGCAGTCCATCTGTTGTTTTGCATTTATTTAAAATATCCTTTGCTAAATAATTATGTTCATCTTTAAAAGAAAATTACTTAAAATTACATTCAATTTCTTTCTACAGACCAACAGTCTTCACCTTCACAAAGCAAACACATTGTACATGAAAACTGAGTTGTCAGTCACCAGCTTTGCATACTAATCGGCTATTTGTTTGGTGCAACTACAGCCTAAGTCATACAAAGCAATTCCTACTTTTTGTGAAATCTGGTAGAGTTTACACTTAGAGATAAAGTATGAAATAAAGTCTAAACATACTAGGGCTAGCAAAGCTTTAATGATTTCATAATTCATATTGGTTTTCAAAACAATCTTATAAATACCTAACTAAAATATAAAACAACAAAAGCTGTAAGCAATCTTCTTTTCCTGGGTTCACTAAGGCCTTTGGACTCATTTGTATCTATGTTGTGTACGTTCTCATTCTCTTCTGCATTTTGACATACTTGCTCATGAAAACACTAGAACAATTTAATTAAAAGAAAACCACTCTGAAACCACTTGAATTTCTGATCCTACCATAGAGGTTTAAATGCTTATGAAACCTGGCTTGTATTTTTTTTTCTGGGTTTTGATGTCTAAGTGATTATAGACTGCATGCTTCTTGCTTCGTGGTGATTTTCTAATATGCATGAAACATGAAAAAGTGGGTATTTACCAAAGATCTTGTATACAAGGCTTTTCAGACTGGAACTGATAACCTTTTGAAACATTTTTAATCACAAATAATGGCCTATTTCACAGATCTGAAAGCAATAACAAGTTTCCATAACTTACAGTTGAAAATATTATCTTTTAACTAAACAGGATCAGCTTAAAATCCTTTTGGAGATGTTTTTTATTCATTAAATGTCTTCTTTAACAACACCACCTTTCATTTCCTATTAATCCAATTCAATTTCTCCTGCATACAAAGTAATGAGCAGAATAGCTGTGAATCCAGTTAACATTCCAGCATTCTGAATCATGAAGAAGGTGAAATCAGTTTTTCTTCCTGTTACCTTTTCTCTCAGCATATCATTCATCTCTGGAAACTAAAAGAAAGATGTATTGTTAGATAACTGTTGCCATCTTGTGGTAAAACATAAAATAGTCATTTATAGATTTTTGTGGGAGTGGAAGATGGTCATTTATTTCAGGTGTTTAAATGTTTTAGCATAGATTGCACAATAGTAATATCTAGCCTTGTTAGACATCAACAAAAATAAAAGTATTAAAATAGTGTTCCCCAAGTGTGTTAATCAATCAATGGAATGGAATTTAGTTTATTCTAGTCTCTCTCTTTATTTTCCTCTCTCTCTCCTCCCACTCCCCACCTACATCATTCTTTCAGGACCTCAAATGCATCCAGCCTCTTTCCTTCCTCAAATCTTCACACTCAACAAAAGTTCTATCTGAACTCTTCTGCCTTCAATTTGTCAATGAACTAAATCCTTCAGGTTTCAACTTAAATCATATTTTCTTAGAAAGGCTTCTCTTAGTCCCTTCTAACTTATATTAGATTCCCTTTCATCTCTCATCATACATATTGCTTTTCTTTTATTTCACAGGTTTCTTATTTGTAATTACTGGTCATGTGTGTGATTTTGTTTGTTTGTTGAATTTTAAGTTTCCCTCTTTGTAAACAGAAAGCCCCATGAATGAGGGGACTGTGCCTTTTTTGTCACTACATTCTCCCCTGTTCCTTATCAATTTCCAGGCCTGGTAGAGAAATATCAATCCATGGTATGTAAAGAAATAATTTTTTAGCAATCACTATACATTTAATTTCTGTTCTTTTTAATTTGTGTCCTTTTGCTTTCTTTACCCCTCACAAAATTACTAGGTATTTAAATAAATTATGCACTGCTCTAGGATTGAAGACTGTAACAATCTCATTACAGTGAAAGTAATTAAAACCCCAAGTTCTGTATGTAAGATCTACCGTTTCTCAGCAGGTAACCTCTACTGAAAAGGCTTCATGTGGAGATCTGTAAATGCCGCTTTTAAAAACATATTCCAAAATGCTTGCTACAAATGCAGTGGTGCATTATACAATAGCAGTATCCAAAAGGTCTCCACAGTCAATCATGTGCCTGATTTAAGAAAATTGTTACAAGGATAAAATGGGTGAAACCATTCTGAAAAGAGTGAAACTTCTGTAAGTATATACAGCATCATTTATCAGTATTATTCCTGCAAACTAAACACTCTAACAGATTCTGTTCTTATGTCAGAGAAAGGAGAAGCGGTGACCTAGCATAGAGTGAGAGATATTAATTCTGTGAAGAAAATATAAATGCAGTGATGGTTCCAAGGGTCTGCACAGCGCAATGAACAGAGCTAGAGAGCTATCATTTGTAGCTAAGAATGCAGATGGAGGAACTTAAATTATTAAATTATGTCTGTCATACATATTCAGCTCCAAATGCAAAGGAAATATTCTTTAATTTGCATACACTTAGCACCTCTTCATGCTCTAAAAATCTGTCAATGCTTCATTTGAAAATGCACAGGATCATTTATATTCTGTGTCTTGCATACACACATAAAAATAAATACATAGACACAGCCATAAACATAAATATAGATATAAATATATACTGACCTAAGTACATATTATTAAATTTTAATTTACCAGTTTTAGTTTAACCCCAAAATGTTCTTGCTGTTTAGAACTTTGAAATGACAAAATTCTATTTGCAAAACAAGTTATTCCACTTGCAATACGATATCCTCACAAAAGAAAAGGAAAAACTCCCAAGGGACATGTTGTCATAGAATATGAGGTTTATCTACCAAAGGACAAAAAAACTTGGGAAAATATCTCTACTTCAGCAAAAATAATTTATTTCCTCTTTTATCAGTAAGATCATAGATTAAAGAATGAGCTCTCACTGGTGTGGCTCAGTGGATGGAGCACCAGCCTGTTAATGAAAGGGTCACTGGTTTGGTTCCCCATCAGGACTCATGCCTGGGTTGCAGGCCAGGTCCCCAGTAGGGAACACATGAGAGGCAACCACACACTGATGTTTCTCTCCCTTTCTTTCTCCCTCCCTTACCCTCTCTCTAAAAATAAATAAATAAAATCCTTTTTAAAAAAAGAATCAGTGAGAATCCTTTTCAAGATGTTGTTAGTACACTCAAAAAGAGTTATCTGTTAAACCAGGAATGTTTTAAATTACAACAAAAACAACTTTTTTTTTGCCCTTAGTCAAATTGTAATCCGTATGTTTATTTATAAATTTCAAACTAAAAGAAGGTAAAAATTTTTGAAATTTCTTACCATATCCGCCAGAGAAATATAGAGGAACATGCCTCCAGCAAGTGCAAATATAATATTTGGAGCAAAATTGTTGCCCACCAAAATGCCAAAAGCTAGCCCAACATAGCAGGAACATGCAGAAAGGAAATTGAATACCAAGGCTTGTCGAGTGCTCATCCCTGCATTGAGTAGGATCACAAAGTCCCCTAGAAGAAGAAAATATCAAATGAAGAGATGTTTCAATTTTTGGATGGGATGAAAGATAACCATCAGTATCTAACAAGGGCTTCTCTACTTTGATGCCATCAACAGAAATTTTAAGTATGTCACCTGAAATGTCTCACTCCAATGAAACCAAGAAGTAGTAACTGGCTTTCACAACATGAGCAGGCCCTTACCCAGCTCGTGAGGAAACTCCTCGCACAGGATTGCTATTGAAGTGCTGAGTCCCTGGAGAAGAGACAGGGTGCAGGAAGCCCCAATTGCCAGGCCATCGATGAAATTGTGGAGGGCGTCACTGAGCGTTATCATCCAGGCAATTGTCCCTATTTTTGACAGTTTGGGCCCCTTCAAACAGGTACACGAGCTTGACTCCTTTTTTTCATGCTGTAAAATGGCAGAAAATCAATCAACAGAATAACCAACATTTCTTGAAAGTCTAAGATACACAGAAAAGCAGATATATTATGTCTTAAGGAAGAGAGACATGGTTGTAACAGAAAGTCTTTCATAGTGGATGGGAACTCCTAATCCTATGTAGCAGAGAAAAGAAAATTTATGGTAGGGAAAAAAGAAATGAAATAAGTGAACAAGCCTTGAACAAGCTACTTAAAAGACATTTTATTTTACTTTCCCCTTAAAGCAATCTTTTGATCTGTATGAACAAATTCCTACTACTGCCTTCCTGAAACGTAGCAGATATTACCCTATGAATTTGAATTATTCACATACATTAAAATAAACATTTTCCAAAGACTAAATTTAAAGTCGTTTTCCGTGTTACAATGTGAAATATACATTTAAAGCATAATGACATCAAAAAACATTTTTCTAGTCACCCCTATTCCATGATGTGACTGTGAGCAAGTTACTGGGCCTCAGTTTCTTCAACTGTAAAATGAGGAGAATGTATTAAATGATTCACATATTTTCTCCATGACTTATTAAGTTTCCATAGTCTTCTAGGTGCTAGGCTGGGTATGTCAGCTGTAACATGGTCCCTACCAGCTCTAATTTCAATGGTTCTGTTAACAAATTTCATGAAGTATGATTGAAACAGACTTGCCTTTACACTAACACTTCTTTCCACTTAGAAACAATAATAAAATATAAAATCTTACAAAGGGATCCTTTGTAAGAATTTAAATTTTCACAAAGTTAACAAAATTGTATAAAAATCAAATGACAAATGTCAACTAAAGTGTTTTCCAGAAACTGTGAAAAAAAAAGATAATAAAATGCAAATACATTTTTAAGTAGGGAAGTCATTTCCTATTAACTAGAGAATATTTTATTCCTAATCCTCCTCCCCTCAACTCTGCCTCAGCAGCTAATCAACATATTTATTGAACATCTGCAATTTGTGAAACAGTGTGCTCAATGCTACAGGAAATGCATGGAAGCAGAAAAAATAGCTTCTGTCTTCAAGAAGTGTATTTACCTTGGAGAAGCAAGATGTAAAGTACATGACTGACTTTTTTAAAATGTGCATTATATATCCGGCTGAGAGGGACTTCCTTCTGAGCAATCATCTGAGAGATTTTACATTTATTCCAACATCACTTCATTACAGAAAACACTTTGGGGACTGTTCTTTCAGAATTGACTTTAGATCTTGCAATACATTCTTTCTCTGTTTCATTAGTGGCAAATCTTCATCTTTGGGGGATGATTTTTGTTTTTAGACATAGCCAAAGTCATTTGGAGCCTATAAATTCTTAAATTTGTATGGCAGGAGGGAGGATTGTTAGTGCTAATAATAGTAGAGGTAGTTGTAGCAGTCATAACAGCAGTAGAAATAGTCATAGCAAAGCCACATAGTTTTATTATGTGCCTGTTCTAAGTGCTTAGATTTTTAATTCCTTTAGAACAATTCTATGAATTAAGCACAACTGTTACCCTCATTTTATAGTTGGGGAAACTAAAGCACAGAATGGTTAGTTAACTTATCCAGGGATACAAAGGAAGTAGTGGGGTTTTGTTTTTTGTTTTGTTTTGGGGTTTGTTTTTTTTTTTGGTAACTATTTCACTCCTCCAAAGGTATGGAGGATAGCAGGCAGGAACTTCTTGTTTGTAACTGGGTCTGGAGGCAGTTCACAAGGAGAATGCCCCCTCCTCTCAAAAAAACTATACTTAAACACTTGAAGCAATGTTAGACTGTTTTATCTCATTTTATTTTAAAAGACAAATCTCATCAGCATAAATAAATTCTATCTGGTCTTAAAAGGTGGCCTTATTTTTACTTTATAATGTTAAAAGATTAAGTGAGGCAAATTAGAAATTTTTTAAGTTTATTTGAGCAAAAATTGATTCAAATATGGCAGTGTCAAACAAGAAGCGGTGAGAGCACTTCACCAACAAGAGCTCAGGGAGAGAATTTTACAGATAAGTGGCAAAAGCAAAGCAAAGAAATTATTGATTGGCTATAGCTTACAACCTAGTTGGTTATTTACGATTGTTTGGCCCTAGGTTTCAATTCTGTACCCTTCAGGCATTTACAGGCTTAGATTTGGTTTTGCTTCCATAGGCCACCATAGCACTAGAGACACCTCCGTCAAATGACCTTCTTGTTTAATTATCATTCATAAATGGTAATTTAACCATTAATATATCTTGAATGCACAAAAACATAAACAATTATGGTTTAGTACATAGCTGAGAATAAATGTTCCAGAGCTAGAAGCTCGAATGGAGAAACAAAGGTGGTCATGAGAAAAACCACACAGAAAGAGACCTTGGCTTTGCAAAAACTTACTACCAAGATATACTTAATAAGAACTGTTGCTTTCATCTTCCAAATTTGGTTTACCTAGTCACATATTTATACTTTATTTTTTATTTTATTTATTTTCTTTCTCATTTTCAATTACAGTTTATAATTTCCATATTTACTTGTGATGTCTTGACAACCTGATATTTTATACTATATACAAATTCTGTATACAAACTCCTTCAGTTCTGAAAAAGAAATTAATGTATCAGGCATGACCTTTTTCCCTCTAAGTATAGATATTATTGACCCGATTTACTACACTTTTTAGCTCTACAAGCTTAGGTCTCAATTGGCACTGTTGGGCAGGTTAACAGATATACATTTTTAATAGCTCTGGAACAAACAAAAGTATGCAAACATTCACAAAAAGTTCTTCTTTAATATGCTTGGAACTAAGTTATTGAGCAGAGAAAACACTATATTCAAATTACTTCTAGTTAAGTTAGTAAGTTTTCTTCTCTTTCCTTTTTTTATTTTTTTCACTACTGTTATTGTTTACTTGCTTGATTCTTTAACTTGTACATTAAATGTGAAACTGTTTAACCTCAGCCATGATTAGGCAACTCAATCTAGTGAAAAGACCCAATATCTGAAATCCAGAGCTGAATTCTAGCTTGGCCCTGACAACAATTACTGTGTAATCATCAGCAAAGCTCTGAACATTTCTCACCTTACTTATTAATGAAAATGAAAATCCAAGAAAACTACGGATAATCAGAATGGGGTGAGAAAGAATACCATGGACCACAGCTCTAAGAGTAGAACACAGACTAAGCAGAATCCTAATATAAGTATGAAAGAAACAAAATAAAACAAAGAAAATGTACTAAGAAATCAAAATGAAGAAAGCAAGTGGGATGAATGCAGAACAGCTTATCTTAAGGCAAGGAGGGGGAAGATCTAAGAGAGGAAGAAGAGGACAAGGAGAAAAAGGTGTGGCATGAGGAGAAAGAGAAATGGAAGGAGGAGAAAGATAAATAGGATGAAGAAAAGGAGAATAAAAATAAGAAGTTAGAGATGAATGAGAAGGAGGCAAGGAAGGAGAGGAAGATGAGGAAAGAAAAAGAAAGGATGTGCTATCCTTCAGCAGAATATAGGTCATATATTAATATGGCTTACACCTGCACTAAAATAATATGCAGAATAGTAGAGATGATGATTCTCTATATATTTCCACATGTAAATATGTCCAAAACATAGTGTTGAGGTAAAAAAAAACATATAAAACAGCATGTATATTGGGCACCTTTTTGTAAAAATAATCACAATTATAACTCCATAATGGTCTAAGTGAAAATATATTTGGAATGATATATACAAAAATGCTAAGCATGGTTCCCCCTGAGAGACAGTAGTGTGGATAATCCTTGTTTGTATGTTCTTTATCTTTTATGGGTGTTCTGGGTTTTTTGCACTTATTATATATTATTTTAATAGTCATAAAACAAAGCATTAAAGCCATAAGGTGAGAATCAGCAAGAGGGAAAAATGAATTTGTGATGACTCAGGAGTTTATTATCATCAACAAACAAGGTGAAGCTAGAGAATCCGGCTGCCTATAGGTTTGATCTAAATTGAAAAGAGGGTATATTGTCTCACTAAAATGAAACGAGTAGGGTTAATGACTGCAAAGATCAGCATGAGCACAGTCAGGCCTCATTCCACATTGGAAGAGGCAAGATGAGTCATGATTAATAAAAATGTTTTTTATGGTTTGTTTATTGTTTATATGTTTTATCAGTAAGAAGGTAAAATCAAACAACCATTGCAGTTAAATATTAAATTCCATATTTCATGCTGAAAGAATTTTACAAATAAAGAGGCTGCAAATAAAAATGGGTGAGTTTTATGTAAAGGAGCACTGAGTGCAAGATGCTTAATAGTTAAAGGTATGTATGTGCTTTCGTATCAAATGGGTGTGAGTTTTGAGTATTTGCTCTGCTACTAAAGAGCTCTGTGTCTGTCAGAAAGTTACTTGGGTCTTAGCTAATGTACTTAGACAAGAAAAGGAAATAAAAGGTATACACATTAAGAAGAAAGAAATATAACCGCCTTTGTTGGCACATGACTATACAGAAAATCCCAAAGAACTGACAAAAAAAAGATCCTGGAACAAATAAGTAATTTCAGCAAGGTAGTAGCATACAAAATATACAAAAGTTCATTGCTTTCCTATATACCAGCAAGTGACAAGTGGAATTTGAAAATGCCATTTATATTAGCTCCCCCAAAGACAAAATCTTTAGGTATAAATTTAACAAAACATGTACAAGATCTATATAAGGAAAAGCACAAAATGAAGAAATAAATGAAAGAAAAGCTAAGTAAATGGAGAGAGATTCTATACTTATGGATTGGAAGACTCAATATTGTCAACATATCTGGTCTTCCCAATTTGATCTATAATTCAACACAATCCCAATCAAAATCCCATCAAGTTATTTTATGGATATTTTCTGATTCTAAAGTGTATAAAGAAAAGCAAAAAAATCTAGAATAGACAACACAACATTAAGGGAAAGAAACAAAGTTGGAGAACTGACGCTACCTGGTGTCTACCCCACTATACAGCTACAGTAATCGAGACAATGTGGTATTGGTGAAAGAATAGACA